GTCATGGTTTGAACCATAAGATCCCATCACCTAAGAGTTTTGCAATCCCAAAATCAGCAACATGTGTAATCATGTCTTCATCAAGAAGGACATTACTTGGTTTTAAATCACAGTGAATAATAGGTGTTGTATGACCATGATGTAAATGTTTCAATGCTGATGCAGCATCTATCATTATGTTTAACCGTTATAGGATGTCCAAACAATAGTTGTGAGAATACAACCAATTCTCGAGGCTCCCATTAGGCATGTACTCTAGTACCAATGCTTTGAAATCCATGGTGCAGCAACTGCTCATGATTTTAATTAGATTGTGATGCCGAAAGTTGCGCAACACTTCGCACTCGACATCAAAACTCTTAAAAGCTCCTTCTAACTGCAAATTGAAAACCTTTACTGCAATATTCATCCCATCAGAAAGCATTCCTTTATATACCGAACCATAACTTCCCTTGCAACTAGGTTGGTTTCACTTAATGCTTCTGTTGCTCGTAAAAGTTCTTGATACGAAAACTTTCTCCATGCCAGAGGTGACAAATTTGCCTTCATCTGCAATTTGATCTTTTGTTATCGATATCCTATCAACAAAACTATGAGGGCCGTAACAAGAATTGATAATGCAATAGAGGGTAAAATATATTTCAGCAGGGATACAATTTTTGGTATCAGTCACCCGTTTTTGTTGGTTTTGCACAGGGAAACTTGCAGTCGGGGTTCACACAAAGTGCATCATTATGCATAAACGACCGAGCTGTAAAGTTTGCGAAATGTCCTCCACTAGGAATTTCTCCTTGCAGTCTATTGAAAGACACATTCAAATATTGGAGATACCTGAGTTCTTCTAAGGACTTCGGAATTTTTCCGGACAAATTGTTATGGGATAGATCCAATAATTCCAAGCTTATGAGGTTGCCAGGAATGGGTCCTTGCATTTCATTGTCGGACAATGAAAGAGAAACTAATGACTGAGCTCCTCCGATGGTGCTTGGGATGATTCCTAATAACTGATTCCTTAACAAATCAATTAGTGTTATGACCTTCAAGTTTCCGATATATAAAGGTAGGTCGCTAGTTAGAATGTTTGAGGATAGGTTGAGACCCAATAGGTCTTCAAGGCTCCACAAGTTTGACGGTACCATGGAAGTCAATCTGTTGGAATCAAGGTAGAGCCATCTTAGAGATTTAAGGTCACCCAAGCATGTTGGAATCTGTCCATCTAGCTTATTATCACTTATAGAAAAATCTCCCAATTTTCTTAACCGACAGAGTTCATCTGGGATGTGTCCTTCCAATCTATTATTTTGAAGATGCAAACGTACGAGATTTTGTAATCTATCTATTGTTTTTGGAATAGGTCCACTCAAATGGTTCCTTCCTAAGCGCAAGATTACCAAGTTGCTCAAATTGCCAATTCCACTAGGAATTTTGCCCTTAATTTTGCAACCAAATGCGTTAAACACTTGTAGTCTAGTAGACAAATTCCCAAATGAAGAAATTGGAAGAATGCCGTTAAGTGGATTTAATTATATGTGCAATACCTCCAATTGTCTGCAATTTGTTAAAGAAGAGAAAATTCTCAACTCCGGAGTAGAAGATTCCCTGGTCAAACTATTTGTATGAAGTAAGAGCTTCCGCAAGAGTCTTAAACTACCAAGCGTATTGGGTATAGATCTAGTGAAAGAGTTCATGCTCATGCTAATGATAGTTAACTTAGAAGCATTAGAGATAGAGCTCGGGATTGTTCCACTGAGTTTATTCATGATTAGATAAAGCTCTTCAAGATTCGGAAGCCAAAACCCCATGTCAGAAGGAAGATTTCCTGTAAAATGATTAGATCCTAGGTTAAGGATTATCATTGTTGACACATTGAACATTTTGAACGGAATGGTTCCAATTAAGCTATTTCCAAAGACATTAAGTCTCTCAAGACTGAGGTTACCAATCTCATCTGGTAAAGTACCTGTCATTCACAACATAACACCCTGGCATTATTCATCAAGCTTTATGAGTTTTACAAATTATTCATTAAGCTATAAGGGTTGAAAAGGTATTCATTCATGAGTTATCCACAATTCCCACACATGGTGTGACTATTGTTGTGTAGAACAATTATCGTTGATTGAATTGGTTATTTGGACCTAAGAGACTGTAATATAGAGTATGACAAAACAAGAAAAAGTTATATGATCGTTCATTGTTAGTTAATATAAATAATTAGTAATAGTATAAATTTAGGTAGAATTTTATACAAGAGATCAATTGAATATGATTGAATTGGGAAGAAGTACAAACCACAAATATTGGAAAAAATCAAATTTGTATAACTACTTTTATATATTTATTGTTAACATTTTATTATACTTGTATCAACCTATTCTCAAATATGATGTTTACGAGTCACTATATTTAAATTCCTAACTTTATTTAATTTTCTTGCATTATTTTTATTGCTTTGTGTGTTGGTTTAGTTTAAATCCGGTAAAATTAAAATAATCTAATTACAAATCAATCAAAAGAGAAAGCTAAACCTATTCACCTCCTCTAGTTTTCTCATCTAAGATCAAACTTTTCACACCACTTTTGCAAACCAAGCAACTCACAGTTTTGATACTTACAAGTAAATATAGAACACATTTTATATATAACAAGAAAATATATATCAAAACTAGCTTCTAAGTTAGATGGGAACTTAAAATTATACCTTCCAAGTTGTTTTCATCAAGATATAATTCCTTGAGGATAATCAAGTTGCCAATTTCTCAAGGTATGCAGCCATTATGGCTATTGATTGACAATGATAAACCTTGGAGCTCCCTGCATTTGTATAAATTAGATGGAATTTGCCCATTAAGCTGATTCCGAGAAAGATAAAGTCCACCAAGTTTAGGGAGGTGGTTGCACATATGTACAGGCAAACTTCCAGACAGGCTATTGTTTGAGAAATTAATTATTCTCAAAGAAGAAATGTTGAAGATTGAAGATGGGATGAATCTTGTTAGAGAGCTATCGATTAAGTTTATTACTTCCAAACTTCGAAGATTACCTATCTCTGATGGAATAACACATGCGAAGTTGTCAGAAGCAACACATATATAAATTTTTCCTTATTATACAAGTATGCTTGTAACGAATATATAATTATGTAATAACAATAATTAGTAACACAAGAGCTAAGAAGCATAGACACTTCTCCTAGGGGTGTTATGGCGGTATCGGACACATATACACAGCTAAAAGTGTGTTGAAATTTAAATAGTTTTTGAGGTTGGATACAGCTGGGACACACAATGGACAAGGCAATGACATGTTTTGGACACTTTCAAAACACGATGGGATGATTTTGTAATTATTTTTTTTAAAAGATGAAAATAAGTGCAACTTAAAATATATTATGGTTTAGTTACAAAATAATATAAAATTCACTAAAATAACAAGGATCTAGCTCTAAGCTCCAAATTTATAATGATTTCATTAATGATTATATGGATAAAATGAGTAAAAACAATTATTATTATTATTATTATTATTATTATTATTATTATTATTAGTATATTCAATAATATATATATATATATATATATATATATATATATATTTCTTTTGACGTATCAATGCCGTATCTATGGCTTATTTTTTAAAGATTTGTCATATAGTCATGTTCGTACTGTATTGTACCCATGTCCATGTTAGTATCCGTGTTTCCAAGCACAAGAGTACCGGGCGGGTTATGATGATCATATGAATACCTTGTTTTGATGCTCAAGTATATTTGGAACATCCGACATATATAAGTAAATAATAAGACAACATCCTCACATATGCGCTCATTGAAAATAAAAACGAAAAAGACTTATAAAGCATATTAGCTAGTGTTATGAATTATATGGTTGAACAATTAGCTAGTATGGGAGAATAGCTCCTACACAAGTTTATCAATTTTCACTTCTGCTTAAGGAATTTCTTCTCCACAAAAAGGTATATATAGAAACTACTAACTCGTGAGTTAGATGTGAACTTAAAAGCATACCTTTCAAGTTGTTTTTACCAAGATATAACTCCTTGAGCATAGTTAGGTTGCCAATTTCTCTAGGTATGCTGCCATTAAAGCCATTCAACGACAATGATAAAATTTGGAGCTCCCTGCATTTGCATAAATTGATGGAATTTGCCCGTTAAGCTGATTCGAAGAAAGATAAAGTTCTCCAAGTTTAGGAAGGTGGCTGCACATGTCAATTATTCTCAAAGAAGAAATGTTGAAGATTGAAGATGGTATGGACCCTGTTAGAGAGCTATTGATTAAGTTCATTTCTTCCAGACGTTGAAGATTACCTATTTCTGATGGAATTACACCTGCAAATTCGTCAAAAGCAACACATATATAATTTTCTCTCTTATTATATCAGTGCTTGTAATGAATACATAATAACATGGTATGATGTATGAGTTGGATGTGAGGTTAAAATCATACCTTTCAAGTTGTTTATACCAAGATATAACCCCTTGAGCATAGTCAAGTTGCCAATTTCTCTTGGTATGCTGCCACTGAGGTTGTTGAATGATAATGATAGATATTGGAGCTCCCTGCATTTATATAAATTGGAGGGAAGCTGGCCATGAAGGTTATTCAGAGAAAGATAAAGTCCTTCAAGTTAAGGAAGATGGCTGCATGTATCTATTGGCAAACTTCCAGAGATGCTATTGTTTGTGAAATCAATGGACTTCAAAGAAGAGACGTTGAAGATCGAAGATGGGATGGACCCATTGCACTTGTTAAAACTCAAGTGCAGCATTTCTAGTTTAGAGAGATGACCAATCTCTTTTGGAATGTTTCCATGCAAAGAATTGTTTCTTATATCCAATAATTAAAGCTTGGAGATGTTACCTAGTGATTTTGGGATAGTACCTGTGAAACTTTTTTTATTCGGATGCAACTGTTGTAGTTGTGGTAAGATCCCAAACCATGATGGCACCTCTCCACTAAAGTAGTTGTTGTATTGCAGACGGATTTCTTTCGATCGATGCAAACGAGCCAACTCTTGAGGTACATAGCCATCGAAATTGTTGTGACTGATGTCGAGTGACGCGAGGAATGAGAGATTTCCAAGATGTGGAGCGATGGTGCCTTGGAGACCCATACGTGAGAGATTCAAGGCCGTGACTCTCTGGTGCCTAAGACCACATGAGACACCAACCCAACTGCAAACTGAGCTAGTGGTGGACCAATTACTAGCCAATACATCTTCAGGGTTGTGAGTGATATGGTCTTTGAACACACGAAGAGCAAATTGATCGGTGGTCAAGTTTGTGATGGAGCTAGACAAGCAAACGATGAAAAAGCTTACTAGCAATGAGATGGAAAAAAGGAAGCAACTGGTATTGTCCATGGCATTCATATGTGTAAATTACTATTAATGGACTTGTATTTAGATGGATTAGTTTAGCGGGACTTATATAAGATAGGGAAATCAAGCATTGTATGGAATCACGAAACAACGTTGGAAACTTAACTAATCTTCTGAAGACTAGAATGGCATGCATTTCACTAGTACATACTCGGTTACACACTCACTTTCTTGTACACACTGTTTCTCCTAAACGAAGAGATTAGTTTTCATACTACTTTTTGCACCGCCGATATTATTTGCCGATATATAATTTAAATCTAAACTTTTCATATTTGAAAAGAAGAAATATTAATAATTTCTAGTTCTGCTTTATGCTAGTAAAAATTTCCCATTTAGTGAAAAAAACAATACAAGTTTCCCGGGACACAAATCAGGAATTTTCATTGGTTGAACAATTTTTTTTTTTTTTTTTTTGTGATATATATATATATATATATATATATATATATATATATATATTTAAAAATAATAATAAATATATGCTTTTGCATGACTATGTGAAAGAGGTTATAGTTGCCACTGACGAGTCAAGTCAAAAAGAAGAGATTACTATCTTCCTTGTAATTTACTTTCAGCAACTTTTTATGTGTCTCCACCTGTCGAAGAATATAGTACATACCTTCAGCAACTATGTGATTGATTATCTGTGGTTAGGGTTTTAGATCAACCCAGCATTCGATGAACAGTTGGACTTCGACTCGTGAATCAATTTCAAATAGATTTTTTAATCTTGTTTAATTAACTAACTAATTTCAAATAATCCCGGCTTGGCTAGTATGTTTGCGAATATGTTCGTGAATAAACTTGAAAATTTTATGTGATGAAAGCTTAGCCCACTTGCTAAAAACCTATATGAGCTCCTTTTACTTAAGATAGCCCAACTTAATTCAGATTGTAACCATTCATCCCTATTAAAATAGAACCCAAGCCCATCTATACTGCTATTTTGTTTGACCGACTCTAACCCTATTACCCTAATATTTGTTCTTTTCTTTTTCTTTTTTCAATAATATTGCCCTAATATCATCTTCACTCTTAACAATGACTTGGAATTAATCATCAATATATCATTACTCCTGTTATATGATCTTTAAAAATTCAATAAAAATCTTCTTTCTTTTTCTTTTTTTTTTTCTTTTTTTTTTAAGAGAAAAAATTGTGTATTAATACATTTTGGGCACTATATACAGGATCGAAAAGAAAAAAAAAAAAAAAAAAAAAAAAAAAGGGCTATAACTAATTTTGTTGCATTTTGACGATTCCGGTTCCATTACACCATGTCCACATCTGATTTCTCTTTTTTGTTTGTCAAAATATGCAAATTGAAGTAGGTTTATTTAGGGAAAAATAAAATAAAATTTGAAGGAGGTTTTTTTTTTTTTTTTTTTTCAATTGACTTTGAATTTAAATATTCAAATTCAATTTGCATAGTTTGCTCAAATTGAAGTAGTTTTTCAGTTTTGATTATATATATAGAGAGACATTTTTTCTTGATTAAATTGTGAAATAAAAAGAAGATATTAGCCTCACTATAACAGGAATAATGTGGGAAGTACATAATATTACTAAACCTGATACATAATAATCTTGATTGCTTTTAAATTCTAGTCCTACCAATATTTGCTAGAAAGGAGATCTTAACTTTTTTGAGTCTAACCAAGACTTCTTCGATGTTGATTCTTTTCTCAAGTGAATCATTTGAACATTCCATGGCCAAACCCAAGATAGATGATACACATTGCTCCTTCACAGAGAAATCTTCTTCTTCTCTTCCCATTAAATTACAATCCACAACTCTAATGATTGAACCATCCATTAATGCTTCATTCACCCAACGCTTCAAGCTCATCTCCCCAGCAAACATTTCTTCCGTCGGCTTCTTCCTTGTGAATGTTTCCAGCAACATAACACCGTAACTGTAGATGTCACCTCTTGTAGATACTATTCCTCCCGTTCCATATTCTATGCATGACATTAACATTAATTACAAAATCAAAACTGGAACCGAACTTTTAGCATGGAATGGAGAATTTAATGTCTTAAAATAATAATAAAATAGGAATCCTTTAGCATGAACTAAATTAAATAACAGAAATGGAACATCACCTGGTGCCATATATCCAATTGTTGCCAAGGTCATGGTTTGTACCATAAGATCCCCTTCACTTAAGAGTTTTGCAATTCCAAAATCAGCAACATGTGCAACCATGTCTTCATCGAGGAGGACATTGCTGGGCTTCAAATCGCAGTGAACAATGGGTGTTGTATGACCATGATGTAAATATTCCAAGGCTGATGCAACATCTATCATGATATTTAATCGTTGAAGGATATCCAAACAACAGTTGTGAGAATACAACCACTTCTCAAGGCTCCCATTAGGCATGTACTCTAGTACCAAGGCTTTGAAATCCAAGTTAGTGTAACTGCTAATAATTTTAATTAGATTTCGATGACGAATGTTGCGCATTAGTTCACACTCGACATCAAAACTCTTGAAAGCTTTTTCTAGTTGCAAATTAAAAACCTTTACCGCAATACTCATCCCATCCGAGAGCACTCCTTTATATACTGAACCATAACTCCCCATGCCAATTAGGTTTGTATCACTAAATGCTTCTGTTGCTCGTAGAAGTTCCTCATACGAAATCCTCCTCCATGCAAGAGAAGACAAATCTGCTTGGGTCTGCAATTTGATCTTCTGGTTTCGGCGTCCCAGCAACAAAAATACAAGGGCCACAACAAGAATTGCTAATGCAACAGGGGGTAAAACATATTTCAGAATAGCAAATTGCGGATTCTTGTTGGTTTTGCACGAGGGAACTTGCAATCGTGGTACACCACACAGTGCATCATTATGCCAAAATGACTCAGCTGTAAAGTTGGCAAAATGTCCTCCCGTAGGAATTTCTCCTTTTAGTCTATTGAAAGACACATTGAAATATTGGAGATACCTGAGTGCCTCCAAGGATTTGGGAATAACTCCAGAAAAGTTGTTTCTAGATAGATCTAACAACTCCAAGCTTATCAAGTTGCCAAGCGATTGAGGAATAGGTCCTTGCATTTTGTTGTGGGCCAAGGAGAGAAAAACTAATGACTGAGCTCCTCCGATGGTGTTGGGGATTATACCTGATAAGTGATTCCTTGACAAGTCTAGTCGTGTTACGACCCTCAAATTTTCGATATTTAATGGTAGATGACCACGTAGAAAGTTTGAGGATAAGTTAACACCCAATAGATCTTCAAGGCTCCACAAATTTGACGGTATTATGGAAGACAATTTGTTGGAGTCAAGATAGAGCCATCTTAGAGACTTAAGCTCACCCAAGCACGTAGGGATCTGTCCATATAGCTTATTATCACTTAAGTATAAGTTCCCCAATCTCCTTAACTGACAAAAATCATCTGGAATGTATCCATGCAATCTATTATTTTGAAGATATAAAACTTCGAGATTTTGTAATGCCCCTATTGTTTTTGGGATAGGTCCAGTCAGTTGGTTGCTTCTTAAGTCTATGAAATACAAGTTGCTAAAATTCCCGATTCTAGTTGGGATGTTGCCCTTGAGTTGGCATCCAAATGCAGAAAAGACTTCAAGAGAGGAAGACAAATTTCCCGATGAATTTGGAAGTATGCCGTTTAGGGGATTTAATGATATGAACAATTTCTTCAATTGTCTGCAATTCATTAAAGAAGAGAAAAGTCTCAACTCCGGGGTAGAAGATTCTCCGGTCAAACTATTTGATTCAAGGCTTGATTCAAGGCCGAGAGACTGCAAGAATCTTAAACTACCAAGCGTATTGGGTATAGGTCCAGTGAATGAATTATAGCTCGTATCAATCAGGATTAGCCTAGAAGCATTCGAGATAGAGCTTGGGATTTTTCCACCGAGTTTATTGCGACCCAGATAAAGGTATTCAAGATTAGAAAGCCCAACCCCCATGTCCAAAGGAAGATGGCCTGAGAAGTTATTGTCTGACAGGCCAAGTTCTTTCATTGTTGACACATTAAATATTTTGAACGGAATGGTGCCAGTCAAAGTGTTCCCATGGACATAAAGTACCTCGAGATTAAGGTTACCAATCTCATCTGGTAAAGAACCTGCCATTCACAACATGAACACACCAGCATTATTCTTGAAGCTTTTTAAGAGTCTTACAAATTAGCATGACTTTGGTAATTAAGTTGAGAAGGATTGCATTCATGAATTATCCACACAGTGATTGGTTTGTTGGACCTAAGAGTTTGTGTTATACAGAATGGAGGAAGCAAGAAAAACTTAATTCGCACTCCTCTTTTTACTACTGCACTCTCACGTACCATTCCTACCTTTTATAATATAGGAAGTAAGAAAAAAGTTTATATTGTAATAAAAAAATGATAAGAATGTCCTTAAGATTATTAATGCATATCTCTTATTTTATAATACCATTCCTACCTTTTATAATATAAACTTTTTTTTTTACTTTCTTTACTCCTGGTACTTTTTTTTCTGTCAAAAGGAGTGAATTATTCAATAGAAACAAGTTAGAATGAAAAATGACAAAAGAGGTTAAATTATTCAATAGAAACAATTTAGAATGAAAACTGACAAAAGAGAGGTTAACTTTCTAATGAAATATAATATATGAATTTGCTTAGCAAAGAGGTTAACTTTCTAATGTAATTGTTTGAAAAATAGGAAATTTTTTTGCTTATAAGTGCGAAAGTAGTTTGTTTAAGATAATTTTAGATTGCAAACTAATCCCAAAATATTTTTTAAAATTAGACTTTAATCATAAAAAAAGAATAATTTTATTTGTTTATTTAAAATACAAAAAATAAGTAAAGATGAATAATGTTTCTTTAATGTACTGACTAAATTTGATGACATGTATGAAATTACAAGCTTCTCTAACGTTAGGAGCACTCTTGAATTTGGAACTTCATACAGATTCATTATGCACAAGGAAAACATTTACTAAAGTGAAATAAAGGTGGTAAAGTCTTGAAGGTACCTGTCAAGTAGTTGTCCCCAAGATACAGGGCTTTGATTGAAGTAAGGTTCCCAATTTTCTTGGATATGCTACCGGTGAATTTGTTATAGGCGAGAGATAACCGTTGAAGCCCTCTGCATTTCCATAAGCCGGATGGAATTTGACCTGTGAGTTGATTTGAAGTAAGATCTAGCACTCTAAGAAAGGGAAGGTTGTAATGAATGGTCGCTGGGAGGCTTCCAGATAGTGTATTATTATGCTTATAATAAATTTACCAACACCTGATATTCTCCCTTGTTATACTTATAATGAATAGTTAGATGTGAAATTAAAATCATACCTTTCAAGTTGTTTACACCAAGATATAACTTTTTGAGCATGGTTAGGTTGCCAATTTCTTTAGGTATCCTGCCATTGAAGTCATTGAATGCCAATGATAAAACTTGGAGCTCCCGGCATTTGTATAAATTGGATGGAATTTGCCCGCCAAGCTGATTCCAAGAAACACTGAAATTTTCAATCTTAGGAAGATTGTTGCACATATCTAGTGGCAAACTTCCGGACAGACTATTGCCTGACAAGTGAATCATTCTCAAAGAAGAAATGTTGAAGATGGTAGATGGTATGGCACCTGTGAGCTTGTTAAAAGACAAGTGTAATACTTTCAGTTTAGAAAGATTACCAATCTCTTCCGGAATATTTCCATGTAAAGAATTGTTTGAGATAGACAATATCTCTAGCTTCGAGATGTTGCATAGTGATTTTGGGATAGTACTTGTGAAACTATTGTTATACAGTATCAACTCATGGAGTTTTTGTAAAATCCCAAACCATGATGGTATCCCTCCACTGAAATTGTTGTACCCCAAATTGATTTCTTTTAATCGACGCAAATAAACCAACTCTTTGGGTATATACCCGTTGAGATTGTTGTAACTTATGTCAAGTGATGCCAAGAACGACAGATTTCCAAGATGTGGAGCGATGGTGCCTCGGAGACCCACACGAGAGAGATTCAAGGCTGTGACCCTATGGTGGACAAGACCACAGGAGACACCGACCCAATTGCAAACTGAGGTAGTTGTTGACCAATTCTTAGCCAATACATCTTCAGGTTCATAAGTGATATGGGATCTGAAGGCAAGAAGAGCATATTGATCGGTTGTCAAGTTTGGAACAATGGACGTAGCCAAGCAGACCATAGAACAACAACAGTGTATCAACAATGCGGTAGGAAAAAAGAAACTAGTCTTCTCCATGAGTTTGAGTTTCATTGGAAATATCTAATGGGCTTAGCAAACAAGCAAGGCCTAGCAACTTGTTATATAAGATGAGTTTCATGTGAATTATCTAATGGGCCTAGCAAGATATTATATAAGATAAGACCACCCACTGTGACCAAGAACACAAATGAGGAGGAGGTCTATCCACGTGATATGCGTTTAATTAAAGCCACAAATTAAGTAGCTCAAGTCAATCCACGTGATATGACCACAATACAAAATTTGTCTACTATTCCTTGCTCTACTAAAATTGGTTTGGCTGTTGATAATTAGGGCTGTTGATAATTAGGACGGCCCTGGCCACAGGCGGCTCATACAATCGTCTAGAATTTTTAATTTGGAAGGACATACGCCTCCAGCTTAGAATGACCTCAAAATTCTAAGATCTCGTATTTGAACCTTTATTAAACTTTTACTTCCAAGCTCTTTCACAATTTTGAGAATTCTAGAGCCGGCCCTACAGTTAATCTTACTAATAAACATAAAAAATAAAAAAATAAAAATCATTCCGTAGGAGTGAAAGAACATATGTATAAAATTTTATGGAATCAAAAATTTGAAACTTACATTTATTAAATAATTTTTTTGATAGATAATTTTTTTGCGGGGGAAATTTTCACGACTTATAATTACTTTGTAATACATTTTTAAGCTTTCATAATAAAACTGTATAAAAAAGACCTCATAACTTCCACAAGGATGTAGTTGTCCTACACTTCATCTCTTCTTCTTTTTTTACTTCTGTAATTAACCAGGTCTTGTTTTACGTGCATGACAACTAAATATAAGTTGGTCCTAGTGACAAATATTCATTTTAAAATTCAATATAAGTTCTTTGAATTGAACTCTCCATCTTGGATTTTGAGATATGGACGAGATATTGACAATGAAGTTTGGAACTACAAGCCTATGTATGGCTTTCTTTAGTCCGTTCAAATCCCACTCTCAAAATTTATTAATTTTATGCTAAAAAAAAAAATAATGGTAATATTTCATCTTTAAAAATAGAAGGTTAAGAATTCAAATTTTACAAAGTAAATGTGAGAGTTTCTTAGCATGATATAAAAAATTATAAAAAATTAATGGTAATTTTTCACCTTTAAAAAATAAAAGGTGAGAGTTCAAATTTTCACGTAGACAAAGTAAATGTGAGAGTTTCTTATCATAATAAAAATAATATTCCTTTGCTCCAATTTAATTGTCCATTTTCCCTTTTTTGACTATCCGAAAATACTTGTTCACTTAAAAAGTTTAAACAAAATATTTTACATTGTTATGTAAATACAAAATTTTGATTTTTTTTCAAACCATAAAAATATAATTTAGTAATGCATTGTCCCTTGGAAGTAGTAATAATTATATATATATATATATATATATATATATATATATATACACTTCAATTTAATTCAAGCAAATTTTAATGGAAGTAGGCCTTCCATTAAATTAAGAATGGGCCAAAGTGATACTTTCTTGCTTTCACTAAAATGGGCCAAAAGCCCACTTATGAAAATACTAAAAGTTTGAAATGGACAAAATAAAAACACAGTGGGACTCGAACCACAATCGCCTGATTAGAAGTCAGACGCCTTATCCATTAGGCCATGGGCGCAATAGCTAAACAGTGTTCTCTTTAAAACATTTAATGAAACTGTAATTTATATATCATTTTAATAATTAACTTATCCATCTTAAAATTAATCCATAATATTCGAAGACTGTTTCTTTCTTCTTCTTTTTTTTAATTCTAAATGACCCAATCCTTTTTACCTTTATAAATACAAAAAATCAAAACACAAAAATATTTTATAGTAATTCTCAACCTATCCAATAAGAATGGGCTAATCACTTAAATGGGCCGAAAAGCCCCACTAGGGACAACAAAAAAAAACACGCCCAGTGGGCGCTACTGTTACAATTCTTTTAATAATTAATATATATATCTTAAAATTAATCCATAATATTCTAAGTAATAAAAAATCAAAACACAAAAATATTTTATAGTGATTCTCAACCTATCCAAGAAAATCCACACGAACATTAAGAATGGGCCAAAAAGCCCACTTCAGAAAAAGGGACACAAAAGCCTTTAGTTTTCTCCTGTCAAAACTTGTAAGAAAATCAATGCATCTTTCAACCAATATTGTGTGTGTTAATGGGCTTGTTTGTGGCCTTCTATACGATTTTGGGCTTTTATTGTTACAGGCCCAGGATACATTCCAATCCTTAGCTCTCCATTGGCCCTTTAGGATTATGTTTTGATATTGACAAGTTGGTCCATATTTATATATCAATTTCGGGCTGACCCAAACCCAGCTTATAACTCATATGATTAGTTGGGCTTATATCGAGCTTCAGCTGGAGTCTGTTGTAATCTCAGTTTGAGCCATCCGGATTCAGGTCCATCACAACTCATTTATTATTATGGAGTTGGCACCATTTTCGATCTTTTAATTGCATTCGAATTACTGAACACCTAAGTGACAAAACTATTTTTAAGTTAATTATGCTACAGGGCATTAAAAGAAAGGAGAATGATTTGGATTTCGAAATCAGATAATTAGAGCTGATTTATATAAGCAGGGGACTCGTGTCATCATATAATATCCTGATGTAATGATTACATCAATGCTAACTCATATAAAATTAGTTGAATTTATTATGTCATGTATCCCACACATGCTCAGAAATGTGGTACACAATGCTGAAAATACCCGTTGTAAGGAAAATGCCTCATTAGCCCTTCACTCTCATTCTTGATAGACACCATAGGGCCTATTGAGATGCCTAGATGCTTTAGAGGCTATGCACGTCATGTGAGGTTCACCAGAGAGCTCGTGGCCCCCACATGAATGGACACTCACTTGCGAGGAAGATCCTTTGCACGGCAACACTACTGACTCACCGTGGAGAAAGATTGTGCTTGCTCACATAAAAAGTTTAAAAGAAAAGGGAATGAATTTAGTGAGTTCAATTCATATCATAAAAAATATAATTAAATTAACAGTTTTTCATATTCTTAATTACCAATGAGAAAACTCGACGAGATGATTTCAAGAGAAAATTTAATTTAGTAATTTTGTTTTGTAAAATGTAGTTCTCAAGCACCTAATCTAAGATAAGTACTGTTTTTTTAAATTCAACACAAATTTAATTGGAGCATAATTTAGATTATAATTTGGGCAATATGATGGTGCAAAGTCGATTAATTAAAATATTCCCATGAAAAGGGTCTAATTAACGTATGAAAAATGACAAAGACAAAAGCACAAGGGTCTATGGTTCAAAATGAATGTGGCAATGTAATTTCACCAATTCAAAGTGACATGGTTGGGTAATGTATTTATTTAATCACAAGTTGCCATTAAACCCACTTGAAAATGATAAGGTAGTTGACACTTAACTAATTCTAGTTGATGTTTCCATTTAGATGATTTGCAAAGGTCACTCTGTGGGGCCCACAAATTCCATGAATCTCAAAACCACCTTGGTGCCAAAAAGTTTTCAACAATTGTAATGATTTATCCCATGGATTCACAATTTTTAAGAATATTTAAAGTCACTCTATAGTAACCTTAAGAACAATTTGTATATAGCACATTTTTATTTTAATCTTTTTAATCAGAACAATAGAAAATTGGAATAAGACATATCTTTTATTCTATTGGCAAAAAAGAGATGGACACTTGCATCAAGAATTTTATGCCCTTTACCACACTCTTATTAAGTTCGTTTTATTAAAAAATTAGAGTTTGATGAAAATTTTAGAAATTAAATATACTTTAGATTGATATGCTGTGGAAATATATAAATATTTTTATATTTATATAATTATGGAGCAAAATACTCCACCAATTATGGTGCCTTACTTGACTATTGTACACCTTTCATATATTCTTATATTTATCATGCAAATTTTAGAATTAAATATATTTTAGATTAATATGAATTCTCATTTTTCATATGCTCCACCAATTAAACCGCTTTTATTCTCTCTTTCTTTCTAATTTTTCTATACACACTACGTCTAAACCAATTTTTTATAAATTCACCATAATTTATTTCTTTTCCATCAAATAACTTTCAGAATATTCTTGAAAAACTTCACCATGATACCTAAGTAGCAAATAGAACAAAATATAATGCGTGCGCGTGCAGAGCCACGATTTTATTTTGGGGGAGCACAATGCACTTATTAGAAAGAAGAAAAAAAATCAACAAGTATGACAAATATAATTTTTTTAAATCAAAAGGCAAACAAAAAAAAATAGTTGTAAAATAATATGCTAAATAAGTACTTGGTAAATAAGTACTGTAAAAAAAAAATATATATATATATATATATATATATATATAAGAATCAAAATATTTATTAATAATATTTTAATTAATTAAATACAACCACAAATGTCATCTATAAAAGGAAAGAAGAGAAAAAATGGTACAATACATAATTATATATAAGTGAAAAAAGAAATTTTTTGAAAAAGAGAACAAAAAGAAGAAATCTTTTTAAAAAGGAAACAAAAATTAGAAAAGGAAAAATAGATAGTGTACTTGAAGAAGAAGAATATATATAACTTTTTTATTTTTAAAAGAAAATTAGAGAAATTTGAAAATTTTAGGAAGGCACTATTTAAAATTACCATATAAGTATATTTATAATAAAAATATGTACCTATATAGTAACTTGGAGCAAGGGTAGGGGCACAGAGGATCTTAATTGGCTCGCCCATGTGTGTGTGTGTGTGTGTATATATATATATAACATTATCTTACATTAATTGCAAAAGACTAGTGTGTAACCTAATACAAAATTTTAGTCTTAGGTCACAGAGGACTGGACCAAATTTTGGTCAATCTCCAAAAATCCTATGGTCAGGATTGCATAGATGGTATATCAGCATCCCTATGGTGACTTTTTTTTTTTTTTTTTCTTTTCTTGGCACCCTATAGGTGACGCACCAACTGAATATTTGCTTTTCAAACAGACTATATATGTTACATCATTTTCATATATATATATATATAGTCCTAT